ATTTCTGAGAAAATGTTGAATACCTAAGTCTGAATAACCATAGTTCATCTGAACAAGTTCACTTGTTCTTTCAAGTAAAATAAAATTTCATTAAAAAAAAAAAAAAGCAAAAAGCACCTAGATCAGCTCTCAACTCCAACACTCACAAAAGCATTTTTGAGACATCCAAGTTATTATGGGATGCAGTAGCACTTCCAGTTTTATCACACATAATATTAAAAGACATAAACTTGAGAGGAAAGCTTCAATAACATTCATGATTATTACTGTTTCAAACTAGGTTATTTTTAAATGAAACTGTCTTTTCTCTCATGTGGGTGCTTGGCAGTGAAGATTACAATGGCTACCAGTACACTTTAGTGCCACGGCCTTGATTCATACTGTCAGTGCAAATGTCAATACAATGAAAAAATGGCATTTAATATTGTTGAGAAAATAGCTTTGACCCTGTGGATCCTCTGAAAGAGTCTCTGGAACTGACAGGGTTCTGCAAACATTACTGTGAGAACTGCCATCCTAAATGTTTTAGAAAGTCAGAATAAATATAAGGCAACATAAACATAAGCAGCTTGCAATTACAATAACTAGGTTAAGACAACGAACAGAGTGCACAATCAAATATTCAACACAAAATACAATTAAATAGTAAACATTTTCAGATGCAAAGCCATGACCTAAATACAAGCCTCAGAGAGTAGAAAGGAACAGAATGTCAGAACTTCAAAAACAAAATTAAATGTTTTTGGTTCACGGAAAATTTTAGTTTAGAGTCAAGGTTTAAAAAGTTTACATGACAGACATTTAGTTATTGACAGAGCTAAATTTGACTTTTTCCCACAATGCTATGCTCTTTCTAACACTCATCTGAGAATCAAAAGACTAATATATTGAATTATGATCTCACAGAATTAGAAGCTGATGGCCAGGTTTTACAAGGACTAAAGAAAATGTTCAAATAATTATGAATAAAGCCATTTTTGGAATACCACTTTATTATTTAAAAGACCTTTCTAAAATTATCTTTATTCTTTTAATTGAAAAATAACTTTATCAGAAGGCATTTAACATTTTAAAGTTAAGGAAACTGAGATTCAAAGATATAAAAATTAAAAAGACTTCCCCAAAGGCACCTAACTAACCAATGTTCAAACCCTGACATGCCCAGTCTTCAGATCCCTAATTAGCACATTTCAATCATACAATGTGCTTTGAACTTTGTGAACTTTTATTGCCACAAAACTCCAAGATAAAAGCAACTTTGCCCTCTACTCATAGAAGGCTTTTAGTGTTGTGGTCAATGAATTTTGATATCATGTTTTTTTTTATTTTTGCTGCCTGAGTTGTGCTCAATTTTGAAGCAGTCTAAAGATATTATTTACCTTCTGATATTTACCAGTGGCAAAAGCTATGAAAATGTTTAATCTACCAGTAGGAGAACTGTTGAATTAGGCTGGAAACTAAGTAGAGAGAGTTTAAACAATGGAAACCTAAGAAAATACTGGATGTTGTGTTAGTGGACTGAGTTCCCCAGGATAAGAATGATCCAGGACAACAGAAACCCACCCACCATGTAGAGCCCGATTGAAATATCTGAGACATGAATGTGTGGCTAGACAGACTACACTGACATTGGTTCCCAGTTAGCCTAATTATTGTTGACAGGGCTGGAAGCTTGAAACTCAAGGTCATCACCACTCCCTAATTCTTGTTCCACAGGAACCATCCCATGACAGTGGGTGGCAGGGTAACTGTGGTTACCAAAACTGCTAAAACTGGTTCTTAATCTATGAAATGGGTTAATAATACTAATTTGTTATAAAGTTGTTTTCAGCAGTAAATATAATCCAGCATGTAAAGGGTTTAATATATGTTAACTCAGGTGGACATTCACTGGTTTGTCCCACAAGGTACGTTTCCTCCCTTCTCAGGTATTTGCTCCTCCCCTAAACACAAAGGCAAATGCCAGCCTTCCAGTCAGCTGTATTGACATTATTCAGCCATAAAGACAGAAAGTAGATTACAGGTTGCTCAGGGCTGGGGTAGGGGAGGGGGCAGATGGGGAGGTAATCACTAAAGAACACAGGGTTTCTCTTTATGATGATGAAAATTAACTGTGATGATGGTTGTACATGTGAACATATATTTAAAAAACTTTGAACTAAAAAATGAGAATGTAGAATGTGACTTAGGCCAGGAAAATAGTCCACATGCTATTAATAATACTTGCTAGACTAAACAAAATGCATTGTCTGTGAACTAGGAATTAGAATTGAGAGACACGTTTATCCTCTCTGTGCGTGCCTGGGCTTTACCCTGTTTTCCACCTTGTCTTATAGTGAAGCTGAGAAAGCCAATCTGCACAGTCTGCCCCTGGATAAGTGGGAGAGATGACCAGAGGAAAACACAGATTTGAGATGGAGAGAGAGTCTTGCCAGCATAGCAGATTAATTTCAATCCCTTCTTCTATTTTTGCTGTGTTAATATTCTGTGGGGCACCGCTCTTTTCTAGCTAATGTTCTTTCTTAGTATTGAGAATATTCTCCTTTCTAGTTAAAGCTGGTTTTAGTAGTTTTAAGCTACTCAAAGTAACTTAAAGTTAACTTAAAGATGCTCAAAGTTATCTGTGTCCAAAAAGTGCTAATAAGATTGCAGGTATTAATAATATGCTTTTCCAAAATATACTTTATATATTTATGGATTCTCAAGTTATCAAATACTTATTCAGCACCTGCTACATGCTAGCAATGGATTTGATATTGGGTATTGGATGGTAAGTCAAATGGACCCAGTCACGGCTCTGTTCAGGAAAGTAAATAAAATATAATGTGGCTAGTGCTCTGGTAAGAGAAATACAAAATTCTATGAAGCAGTCAGCAAGGATGCATAATCCAATGCAGATGGGAAAGAAATTCCCAGATCAAGGAGCTTCAAAATTGGGAATCGGGAGAAAGTGGGGGGTGTGTGTGTGCAGTATATAAAAAAGAGAATTAGTGGAAGAAAGAAGGTAAAGAAAAAACAAAACAAACAGTACATTTATGACAGAGAGAAGTTAATGTGGCTGGAATATAAAGCAAGGGTTGGGAAACCTTTTCTCAAAGGGCCATATAGTAAATGATTCAGGTTCTGTGGGCCATAAAATCTATGCCACAACTACTCAATTCTGCCTTTCTAGCAAAAGCAGCCACGGACAGTATATAAGGGAATGAACATCACTCTGCTCCAGTTATTGTTGGATGAGAACAAAGTCTATGCCCATTTTATTCACCATTGGATCCCTGAATCAGCACATTGCTTAGCACACAGTAATTGTTCAGTAAGTATCTGAGAAAATGAACAAAAACAAGATTCTGTTTCACTTTTAAAATTATTTATCCCTTTGGTTTTACAATTTGACATGGAATTAACCCAGAGCAATTTTGACCCCAGTTTAGAACTCTTATTGAAGGCCTGCCTACCCACTGATGACAAGTTATATAAAAAAGAAAACAAAACCAACCTTGGTGCTATAAATGTATAGCCAGATTCTTCAAAATTATCTGGCTTTAGGGTTTCTGAATCTGCAAAGATAATGTTACAGAAAAAGAAATTAGATAAGCAATTCAGAGTATACATCCCAAGAGTCTATGACAATAAGAAGATGACATTAAAAAGACTGCCTAACAAGAAAATTTAAAATAGACTACTTACATCCTAAAATTGAAAGATATCAATGAATACAAAGGTCCTCAATGCTTCCCAACATAATAATGAAATTATAACATGGATTAAAACAGTTATATCAGAGAAAATGCCATGTCTATAATTTTCCCATTTACTAACACTATTGTAATTCAGAACAATTTCAGAACCCTACTGTAACCAAGTATCTTTCAAAAAGATATTAATATGACTGTTATAAAAAGTTTACCAATATTATAAAATGATTTTAATAAATTCATTAATGCCTTTAGTAAATTAATAATACTCTTCATATTAGGTACGGATTAGTAAGTGGAAGGATAGAAAACAAAAGATTTTAAGTCTAGGAAAAAAACTTGGATGTGAACCAGGTTGCAAGTGAGAACACAGGCAGATTCTTCCCCCCTTTTTTGCTGCTAAAATTTGATCGTGGAGGAAAATTTAGCAAATGAGAAGCACAAAGGATAATATCCAATAGGAACGAAAATATCAGTGGAGCTGTCAAGTGTACTAAACAGAAAGAAATTGAGCAACAAGAAAATACTTGCCCTTCATTTTGCCCTTTTTTGCTGTGAAAATCCATCAGAAAGAGAAAGCAGGGAAACAAAAAAAAAAAGAGGGTAAAGCAAAGGGGGTCACAAACAATATTTTATTCAATGACTTTTTTGAATAAAAATATTGTGCATAGATCAAAGGTTCATTTATGTACAGCTGTAGTCTGGAAAAAAAAAGACATATTTGTTTGAAGACTGGAAAAGTATGTCCTGTTGATATTTACTAGATATTATTAGGAGATTACCCTCTCTGTGCTGTGGTTATTTCAAGGGTCTGTTTTGCACAGTGGTTAATGCAGGTGCAATGACGTCAGCCTATAAACAGAAGCATTTACCATTTATCCAAGACTCACTAGTTATCCCCTCATTTATCAAGTGAAGGACTAGCTCATGCAGAATTGCTGGTTGTTAAAGGACCATCATATCTATCTATCAGGTGAAAGCGGAAATGTAAATTAAAGATTAATGTCCTATGTACAATGTGCTATGAACACCAGGCCTGTGGAGAGCAAAAATGAACCGACAAAGAAATGAAAGAGACTATAGTTTACTTTAAGGTCAGATGTAAAAGATATATATGTTTTGCAGGGGGTATTTTTTATTTCATCCTCACAGAAAAATTTTAGGTTGTTAGCAATACTTGAGCAATATGCAAATGATATGATGGTCATTTTAGTTAACGAAATCTAGTCACCCAAAACAAAACAAAGATTAACGATGACTTGAGATATGCACTAGTGTTAATAATTACTCTCCATTCCAAATGATGCTTAAAAACAAACTTATCTATTTGCGTTACTGAGACATTATTCTGGATTATGAAAAGAAAGTTAATCGCCAAACCAAAGCCAAAGACCAGTGCAATTTAATTTATTCAAACAAAATAGAAGATGTGGAAGATGTGAAGCATCATATGATTCTAGCCAAATGCAAATACTACTACTACTAAAGGAAAGATAGGAAAAGGAAAAGGAAAAGGAAAAGCTTTACTAGCACACTGCCGTGAGAGTAGAGACTACGGTGACGATTAGCATGTGAAACATTCTGCTCCAGCTAGCGACCCTAAAAATGACAGCAACAGAGGACACAGCACTGCAATGATTCTGTGAGCACATAGCAAGGCAGGGAGGGGTGGTGGGGACTGCCAGTGAGACTGGGGTACCTGCTCATATTCTATCCATGTAGAATATTTCTTGTTCCTTGCATGTTTGGAATGGGTTAGAATCATTGCTGTAGATTTGGTAATAACAACTACTAAAATGTATACATAGTAAGCCTTAGGTATTCCAAAATCTAGACGTATTTAAACAGCTCATACTAGGAAATAACAAATAGACCCTGAAGTCACTTTCACAGTACTTACATCTGGCCTGAGTTATTGTCTCTTCTATTTTGGCTTTTATATAGTAAAAACTGTAGGTTGGTAATACCAAGGCCAAACTGCAATAGAAACAAGAGAAGCATAAACACAAACAAACAAACGAAAATGAAACATTAATTAAAAAAAAAAGACACTTCAATTTCAGGGAAAAATCCAAAGATCTTCCTCACAGAAAGGAAAAGACATATTACTTTGACAAGAAAATGCATCCAGCAAATAGAGTACTTAATTTCAGCTTTGCCATCCAGAGTCACCCGGTTCTCTACGTTGTAAGGAATCAGAAGAGACATGTGGAAAATGAGATACTAATTACACCCATAACGTAGCTGAGGAAAGAATGTCGTGGCCCCCTGCTATATTTTGACAAAAATAAAAGAACACTAGGGATATGTTTAAACGGAGTAAAACAACATACCAATTGGACACCTCCTCCTTAATGTATTCTACATAATGTTAAAGTGCTTTGTATCAAACAGACACTATTAAAAAAACAAATGGAAGGATAATTATTATCATTACTATTGTACAGAGCATAAAGTCATCTGAAATATGCTCTTCTGAGGGGCTCAATTCTATTTTAAAACTCTAATCCTTGGGCAAATTCTCCAGTGCCCGCTGCTGGGTAAATTCAGATTCCTTTACAGCACTGGGAGAGATTGTCTGCTCATCCCATTCGTTTTTGCCAATGGAAAGCTAAGTCATAGTGTTTATTTCCAGATCATTTACTGTGAGTATGCCTATTATTTGATAAATTGTTATTAGGCACAACAGGAAATACATCTTGAGTTTGGTAGTTTACAAGAGCCTTGGGGCTACTCTAGTTTTATAGTAGAAGTCCAAACTGGAGGAGAGTCCCAGTGCAAATCTTAGGTCAAATTCAGAATGGTTTACACACAAAGAATGTCAGACAAGCTTGTCAATATTTGCCTTAATGACTGCTCAAAATAAAAAGCTGTTATACAGGTAACTTTACTCATTTTGAAATTGCCAATTAAACACATGGTATGTTAGAACTGTTAAAAGATGTCAGGATACCATGCGCCTTCCAGTAACACAACAGCATGTGTGTAATTCTTCTATTCTCATGCTGGCTAATAGGCGTATGTGGGACACAACTGATTGTCCCGTATCCACATGGGCAGTTGCAAATGACCTTTGCTATGCTTTGAATATAGAACACCTGTAAGCAATGGGTATAAAAAATGAGGATATCTCTAAGATGCCCAGTGCAACTACTTTAAAAAAATGAAACTTGTTTAATGAGACCAATTGAGTCATTTGGCATTCACTTTTAATATTTAGTCAAAATATTAGTAATGTACAGGAAAAATGTGCATTTATCGAGTATTTCAAGGCATTTGCCAGTCTTTTAAATCACTCAAGCCTCATGTATTCCCTTCTTTGGGGATGGATGTCTAAACTGTAATTGATTATATATTTTCATGAATAACAGAATAGGACAAAATATAAGTGTTAAAAGTTCACTATATGGAGAGGAAAAAAAGCAAGGGTTTATATGCTAATTTAATTACGCAGTAAAGATAGCAAAATGAATGGATGCTTGTTACCTCCAATTCCCAAATCTTTCTCCATCATTAAGTAATTCATAGACTTTCCTTATGGGAAAAGGTCAAGATAATAAAATGTTATGTAGATTTGATGAAAATTTCTTCATGTTATAGGTAACTTCCTTTAAGTGGAGGCAGAGATTAAAATTAAAATAAGCAGCACATCAGTCTGACAGCAAGATGACCTTTCATGATTCACTTGCCATTTATAAAATGTAGAGCAGAATTACTGAGCATTTGAAGATTGTCTCCTACAAATTCTTCTCAAGGGAAATTAGGACATTTTTATTGCCCCATCAGCATTTATTGCTAAGAGAAACTTCTAATTAAAAGCGATAACGTTATATCATGTAACTACTACAGTGTCACTCTGTGAGCTAGGGTTACATCTCATGTACTATAAAAAATAGTGTGGAAACTCATGAGGAAAACAATAGAAGTTTTAAAATTGACATATCAAATATACATTTTGTTGGCTACAAGTCTTAGGTTGTTATTAATAGCTACAATCCATTTTATAGAAAATATACTTAAATTATTTCTATCTCAAGCCAAGCTATTTTTTTCTAACATATAGCCAGATAAGATCTTTACCAACTTCTAAGTTAATGGTGCTGTTATATGCAATGTTTGCTGTCTCTCTCCATATAAAACCAATAGACCAAGACTGTTTTGTTTCTGATTAAAGTTTAATCAAGTGGGCACCCAATGAGTGGTAGAGCCTATAAAATATTTTTGTTTCTCAAATATGGTTTAGTGAGTTAAAGAGAATATAAAACACTTTTCAACTCAATCATTTATCTTCATAAAAGTAAACACTTCACTAAAAAAAAAGTATTTTATTAAAATAATTATGATATTTCAAAATATGGTACCTAAGTTGGATCAAATCTTAAGGAGACAGAAATCACCAAGTGAAATTTTGTACCTTGTTCACTTAGTAAAAACATACATATCGCTTTCTTCCTTCAACTTAGACGTTCTATTTTGTTCTAAATTGTTATTTGAGAATTTACTTGTACAGCAATTCAGGAAATTATTTATAATGGAAGTAGATTCAATTGGGCCCAGAGTTGGAGACTTGGGAAGAGACTGTATGAAGACAACACACAGAAGTGGGGAAGTTGGGCCTTTTCAGAGAACAATGATATGTATGATAAAGGAAGTGGTAGAAATGACAGAGCAGGCAGGTTGGGCTAGAAATGATGTGAATATTAAACTTGAAGTCCAAAAAGGGAAGAGACTGCAGTTTGTCAACAAGGAATGATATAAACTTGAGAATTTAAGAAACTTAATCTGCCCACACTCCTTATCATCACTGGGTATGTGAGGAAAAGAAGTTGAGTGTTGAGGCCATTCGTGAGACAATTATAAACACATTCAAGCAGGGTTTATAGAGAATTTAAAATACCCCAAGTGCCCTTATAACTGCAGCAGAACCAACCATCACATCAGGGTCAAAAAAGGATCGATTTTTTTCTGAGAATTTGTTCATCTAAACAACAAAGGCATAGAGCATGTTCCCACACAGTGCCCTAGATACTGTTTCATCATGAAATCATTTCTCAAGAGACAGGGCTCCCAGACCTCCTCTGTCTTCACACTTTTTGACAAGTTCATCCAAAAATTGAAAGGTGACAACAATCAAGGAAAAGGGGGGAAAAAGTATAACTTGTTTATATAGATGAAGATCATATATGTGTAAAGAAATGCCTAGGTAGAAATTAGATAGGAATTAGTAGATGAAAACAAATAAAAAAATTAAAACAGTCATTCTGGTATTTCACTGTAAGTCCAAAAGTATGTCAAAAACTGAAAAAGTGAAGAAAGAGTGGCATGTAAGATATCATGACATTAATGTTTATGTTATTCTCTTCTGTATCTATTCTATAAGCCACCCCAGAAACATAAAAAGAGAGAAGTTCCTATGACACTAACATTGCAGTTCTAGGGAAATCTTAAGGACTCTAGGCTACCCTAAAAGGTTAAGTGTATGTTCTGAAGAGTTGGTTTGATTTCATTAGGAAGGAAATAGTTGAGTCTACTACAGCCTACTAACTGCATATTAACATGTAGTTAAAGAGTCCACACTTGAATACTGCAATGGAAGTTTTGCACACCATTATATGAATTTGACGGAACGAGACAGATTAAAAATTTCTTCAATTTGAAAATTCTTCCATTTGTTTCAAATCGAAATTCTTCAATTCTGTAAATGTTTGTAGAGTGCCTACTATGTGCCACTGTCTTATGAGCTGTGGATTCTGAAGTAAATAAAGCAGGCAACAATCCCTGCCCTCTTAGAACTTACTAGTGAGAGAAGACAAATGATAATCAGTAGAAATAAATTTCTGCATCTATGTATAGTGTGCGTGTGTGTGTGTGTAATCCTAAATGGTAATAAGATCTATAGAGAATATGAAGTAGCAAAGGGAGATAGTGTGGTGAGATATTTTATATTTTAAGCGGATTGGTGGAGAAGGCCATTCTGAAGAGATGAAAAGTAGGTCAAGATGTAAATGAGAAGAGGGAATGAGCATGGGACTATTCAGGGAAAGCCATTCTAGGCAGAAGTAATTTCATGTACAAAAGCCCTAAGGCACAAAGATACTAGTGTTTATGATGTGTAGCAAGGGAGGACAGTGTGGCTTAACCAGAGTGTTCAGTGCAGAATCTGGGAGAAAAGTTCAGAGAGCTGACAGTGAGTAAGGTCACATGGCTTAGGCCACTGATGGCCATGACAGACTTTGGCTGTTACTCTGAATAAGACAGCAAATTATTGGGCGGTGGGGGGGTGGGACTGAGTAGAGAAATGAAACAATCTACTCAGTGATTAAGATCATTTTTATTATTGTGTAGACAATAGAAATAAAGATAGAAGATGGAGATATAGATGCAAGTAGTTATGTACTTTGGTAGTGGGAGTTTTTTCTGATCACTTCTATTTTTCTCTATGAAATGGAAAGCAAAAACATCACCCAAGAGAAAATGATGAGAAAGAGTTACAGGTTTGAAGAGAGAAGAGATGCGATTGAAAGTCTTCGATAAGCAACCTAAATTTACTGGAATATCGAGATCACAAGGCACCAGTAACGCCCACTTGAGGTTAAGAGGTCATGTATTTTAGCAGATATATCAGCCAATGAGTCTTTTACTTCAGCCACTTTTAGCTGCATGGGTACAGCATGGTGTTGGTAATAATTGGCATTTAGCCAGGATTGGCATTTTGCCAAACTGTTGTTTTCAAAACCTGTGATGAAGGGAGTTGATGATATGTGCACGAGAGTGAACATAAAACCCAAGGAATTTCTGCTGAATAAGGAAGGGCACAAGGACATGAAGAGGGTGAGGCAGTAATGAGGGAGAGAGGATTGGTGGATTTCACATCTCCACTGAGTGAAAGGATTGTTGGAGTTGGGCTACTAGCAAGAAGGGATGGAAAGCTAAAATGTGGTAATCTGCGAGTTAGATGAACAAATCTCAGATTATGA